TTTCTCCAAACTGGAATCAAATGGGTAACCCCAGAATAGATTTTTACTATAATATGGGTCTAGTTGGTTTACTGTGTAATGATATGTCCACATCGCTCCAGTTTGAGAAGTCCTGTTGATGGAATAAAAGGATATATTGTTCATCAAAGAAAATAAAAGCAAAGCCAAAGAATATGAAGAAACAAAGGCCCCAAACAAAATGAGACTAACAGAGTAACTGTTAAGTAAATTACTAACAAGTAGATGTATATGACTGAATACTATGTAGCTATTAAAATTAATGCTTCCAAAGATTTTTAATAATATGGGTGAATAATTATTTAAATATTAGTGGAAATGAGAAGCTATAATTGAGTGGCTGGTACTGATTTTAGCTTACAAAAGTACAATAAAATATTTATAGTCATGATCTTGGTTAGTGGGATTTTGGTTGATTTTTCATTGTTTGGGACTCAGGGAGATTTGATATAACAAATCTCTAGGAGATTAATTTTTCAACATTATTCCCAAAGAGCATATGACATTTTTTATAATTATAAAATAAAATCTTTGTTGAAACAAAAAACTTCTTTCTTTTGTTGTAAAAAGAGCAATAAAGACTCTAAATTTCCACTTCCCTTACACGTAGGGGTTATTTTACTTAAACACAATCCAATGACTCAACACCTTAACCTTTTACCAGGAGGCCCTGTTGAGATCATCAGAGGATAATTTTTGATGCTGATTAGACTGATTTTTAGTTCCTGAAAGAGTACAACAGATTAAGTAACCTAACCTGGGTTTATTCTTCTCTTGTGTATATTGTTATCCCAGTATTGCCTATGGGCTTGTTTGAGACAGATTATCATGGATAGAACGCTGAGTCCTGAACTGTGGCAGAGAAGCCAGCATGCTGGAGCCTGTACTGTGTACTGTGAAAAACCGTCTTAGTCGAATAGCTAAGCCACAGGTGCTCCTCATGGAAAGTCTAACCAAGTGTCACAGGTATGAAAACCGGTGATAATCAGAGCCAGGGCTCTTTTACTTCTCTAGCCCAGCATTTTAAAAATTTTTATTTTTAAATTAAATTATTATTATTATTATTATTTTGAGTCAGGATCTCACTCTGTCACCCAGGCTGGAGAGCAATCATAGCTCACTGCTGTCTCTAACTCCGGGGCTCAAGAGATCCTCCCACCTCAGCCTCCCAAAATACTAGGATTACAGGCATGAGACAATGTGCCTGGCCTAAACTTTTGTTTCATAGATAATATACACGTCTTTTGCTATGAAACTCCAAGAGGACAAGTACCATGCCTCTTGTGCAATCACTTGTTCAGTTAGCAGTTTTCCTATTGTGTTCTATGGAGCTTATTTAGCCTAGTTGTTAAGAGCATAAATCTTTGGAGTCAGTCTCAAGTTGGTAGCACGAGGCTTTGACCATGGCAGGAGGTGAGAAGGCACATGAGGACCTGCACCAGGCTCCATTTCCTGGCTTCTGGGCTTAGAATCAGGCAGGGTCCAGGGCAGCACCCAGTGGAGCCTGTGCTCCCTGCACCCATTTTACCTTTTAGGCCACAGTCCAGGTACCAGGGACTGTGGAATTTCCTGGCCAAATAGCCCAGTCTATTCCTGACCTGTTCGGGTCTCTTGCCAGCTCTGTTCTGAAAGTGCCTTGCATCATTGGCGGACCACTTGTAGGCTGAAGAGAGGACCAAAGAGCAGGCATTTTGCAGAGGATGAAGAAGGAGCTTGGCTGTACAAACTGGCATATAGGCATCATGAACAATGAGAATGTTTAGCAAAGTGCCTAACACACGATGAATGCTCAGCAAATGCTATTACGGGTCTGTTCCTTTACTATATTTGAAGGACAAAGAGAAAAATAATAATAACCATGAGAATACAATCTTCTACAGGGGGCACTATTTTAAGTTTAATTCTTGGAAGAATCCATAATGGAGTCTTTTAGAAAAAATAACTGGGTTATTGTCCTGGCCAAATTCCAATACTTTGTATTCAAGCTAATTACATTCCTCCCCCACTGGATGAATTATTCTTCACTTCCCCCATAAAAACCATCATGTTGTACTTGTGAAACAAAATAGCTTCTGTGTTGTACCACACATGCAAAAGTGTTTCAATTCATAGTGTATTTCTCCGGATGACTAATTTGAAGGCTACATTGGGATCCGTTATAGTAGGATGTGAGTTTAGTTCAGTGATGCTTCTGAATAATGATACATTACTTATTAAATGGGACAATGTC